TTGCAGACGTTTCATGACCCAACTAGGTAACATCATCAGTGTTGAAAGAGGGGTGAGCTTAAAAAAATAATAATTTTATTTTATTTATTAAGCTTATTGGCTGCCTAGCTTAAAAAGCTAACTCTGGGCAGCTTACAATATTAAAAGGATAAAACTACCGTGGTACCTTGGTACTCCACTGCTTTGAAACCCACTGAACTTTGTATTTAATGCATTTGCATGTGAAAATTTTGTTCCAATACTCCTCATTGGTTTGGTACTCAATGCAGTACTCAATATCGGCTGCCTTGTGACTCACTAGAATACAGGTAATCCTCAACTTACGACCACAACTGAGTCCAAAATTTATGTTGCTAAGTGAGATATTTGTTAAGTGAGTTTTGCCCTGTTTTACAACTTTCCTGGCCCAGGTATGAGTGATTTGGATCCTAGTTAGAGGCAGCTATTTCTCTCTCTGGGCACAAGGAGAACATATCTCCTGGAAAAAAAACCTCCACAGTGGTGACAGTAAGGGCATCCGGCCAGTAAACACTCAGCTGCATTCAGTTGCCCAGACTCCACCCACAAGGAATGGGGTCATTAAGAGAAGATGTTGAGGTATATGATTTAACAGCTTCCAGATGCTATAAGGCTGATGCAATGAGAATGAATCAGCATTGGTATTGCCCTTTTAAGATAAAGATTGGGTCCACAGAAGTCTTTACCTCTTTAAGAGGTATCTATATAAATGCAGCCATTAGAGGGGAATGTTCTCTTTCCTTGTATCCTATATCCATTGCAGAGTTCTCCATGTAGAGTTAAGAAGATTGATTGCTGGTCAGGTATTTGTATATTTCTGTATATGTCTTGTATATAAACCACGGTTAAATGTCAAAGTCTCTGTGTGCTGTGTTTTGCTCCTGGGTTGCCTCATAATAGTAATAGTCATGCTGCAAATGCTTTGACAGAAGATGACTAAATGAACTGTTGTAAGTTGAGGATTCCCTGTATTTCTTCTGGGGAAAAATATGTTTGATACTTGTCAATGTTGGTACCTTTTGTGCCTCCCAGAGCTAATCAATGATAAGTACCAAAGTACCACTATATATAAAACCTATACACAATGTGTGATTTGTAAAATTATACCTGTGAAAATATAAAGCAATGGTAACATCATCTTTAACCTCTGTGTTAACCTAAGATAATTTACTGGAATATTATGTAAGATTTCTCTGTTGTTTTGTATAAAGGTGATATATTTAGCAGGTCAAGCTGTCCAGTGTCATGTGAATGATGGAGATTATTGGAAATCGAAACGGGCAAACAGGACGAGGAAACAGATGTTACGCTACAATAATAATAGGGGTGTTGCATAGCTGGATACGTAGCTGGATAGATTGTGAACCCGGAAAGGAGCAGAAACTGTATATTTGAACCTGCATATAAACCCCAGCCTTCCTGGGAACCATGTCCTCTGCCCATGAGCAGAATTCCTTTTTGCAAAAAGCTTCATAAGAAAGATCTTATCTATCGTTCACGTGTCTCCAGTTGTCTGAATACCTGAACGGTTGATTTTTTTATCATACAATGTGAACAAAATACTCTTTAATTCGCACCTGATAAACATGGTTCAGCTTAAAATGTTTCAGGAGCAACAGCAACAAAGCGGAGATGCTCTTGACGATGATTTCTTTGTGTCGGTTCACGTCGATCCCCAACTTCATGCTCTGGAGGACGGTCACCCTGAAAAAAACGGTGAAGATTTAAACCAGGGGTCTCCAAAAAAGACTTGTGGACTTTATCTCCCAGAATTCCCCAGCCAGCATGGAGTTCTGGGAGTTAAAGACCCCAAGTCTTAAAATGGCCAAGGTTGGACATTCCTACCCAATATTATCACCCTGGACAAAATGGCTACCCTGTCTCTTCTTAAAAACCTCCAGTGTTGGAGCATTCACAACTTCTAGTGGCAAGCTGTTCCACTGGTTAATTGTCCTCCCTGTCAGGAAATTTCCATTGTCACTTCAAACGGTCACTAAATGAACTGTTGTAAGTCGAGGACCGCCTGTATTTAGATTATTTATGAAGATTTTCAGGAAACCCAGGTGTGGCCTCCCGTGGAAGTAACAGGACTACAATTCCCAGGGTTCATGTCGAGGCATAATGTCTTCCCCAGTTCTCCTGCCACATCGGAGCAGTTCCCGTAGCTTTTTGTGGGCTGCCATCCACTTACGGCATTTCCTCCGGCAACACGTCTGCCAAGATGTTGATTGAGTCGGTCTTGGCTTTTGAAGTTGGGGCTGCAGCTAGCAGGATCTTCAACAGGGCTATCTGAAGCAGGGAAGGAAAGCATCAGTGCAAAACTAGATTCTCGAAACATGGCCGCTTTAAGACTAGTGGACTTCAACTCCCAGAATTCCTCAGATGGCCTAACTTGGCCGCTTTAAGACTTGTGGACTTCAACTCCCAGAATTCCCCAGCTGGCCTAACTTGTCCATTTTAAGATAGATGGACTTCAACTCCCAGAATTCCTCAGCCAGCCTAACTTGTCCACTTTTAAGAGTGGTGGACTTCAACTCCCAGAATTCCTCAACCAGCCAAACATGGCCACTTGTGGACTTCAACTCCCAGAATTCCTCAGCCAGCCAAACATGGCCACTTGTGGACTTCAACTCCCAGAATTCCTCAGATGGCTTAACTTGGCCACTTTAAGATAGGTGGACTTCAGCTCCCAGAATTACCCAGCCAGACTGGGCAATTCAGAAAGTTGAGGTCCTCACATCTTCCTGCATGGCTGGCTGAGGAATTCTGGGAGTTGAAGTCCTTATAACTTCCTGCATGGCTGGCTGGGGAATTCTGGGAGTTGAAGTCCTTATAACTTCCTGTATGGCTGACTGGGGAATTCTGGGAGTTGAAGTCCTTATAACTTCCTATATGGCTGACTGGGGAATTATGGGAGTTGAGGTCCACCAGTCTTAAAATGGCCAGGTTTGGAGACCCCCAAGAAATAACGCAAATTTTTTTTACAATTTACCAAAACGTTCAAATCAACAGAAGGGGACTCATTCCAATCAAAAAGATTTGTACATTGCTGTCTGTGGAACCAAGAAAAATTGGTACGGGTAGTTCTCGGCTTACGATGGCAGTCGAGCCCAAAACTTCTGTTGCTAAGTGAGACATTTGATCAGTGAATTTTTGACCCATTTTACAACTTTTCTTTTTAAAGAAAAAATATTTTATTTATACATTTTCCTTTGGTGTACATAAAAACTCAATATTCACATTGGCAGTGTGTTGTCTGGGTACGACTGATTTTGAGTAACGATAGCAAAAATTCTAGCCTCGATTGGGGTCGTAAGTGGAGGACAGCCCTGGATTAAGGAAACATAACAATCCTAACTGTGATTGTGGGAAGTTCCCACAAACTTCATGTCGTACTGTGAGGAATTGCACCCCCTCAGAAAGTCGCCTGAATCCATGCAAGAACTGTATATCACCTCAAGGGCAGTGCTGCCCAATGGCTAAAGGATCCAGATATCTGGCCATAGGTTTAGTCACACCAATAAATGCCGATATTTTATTTTATTCATAATTTTACTAGCTCTATACCCTGTGCTTCGCTACAAAACTATGTGATCAGGCTTAGTTTTTGAGGAGGAAAATAAGGGGGCGGAAAAATTCTGCCTCTGCCTACCAGCATCCATCAGCATTCATCTGGCTAGCATCCTGTCAGTGTGTGAGAGAGTTGAGGGCTGTTTGGAAACTGAAACAGTATTTGCTGTGTGGGCAAGGAGACAGCAAGGAGCCTGGGCGTGGCTTAGCTCAACTGTTCTGTACTAAAGCTGCTTGGTGCTGGGAAACTGAAACTTCTCTCCTCTGCTTGTGTTTTGCATTTGGAAGAGATTTCTTTTTTCACGGTGGGGAGGGGGAGTCGAACTCCTTAGCATCAGAGTGTGTTAATAATAATAATAATATAGGAAATACTCTAAATGCTTTGATGGTCATTTCGAAAAATCCTTTCTTAGTGAGCCCCTAGAAGCCAAGAGGAACATACGGACCCAACTTCAAGTTTGTAAGCTTTATATATATACTGTATATATATTTTTGTTTTCTTATATATATATATATTCATCGCTCACACTGTGTGTTTTTAAAATAATTTGTTGCTCCGGCGTGCATAAGCGCACCAACGTGCCTACCACCCCTGTCCTATTGTTTCTTTTTATTTTTATTTTTCTCATATGCATCTATTTCATGTATTCATAACTACGTTTATACTTATACCTATTATCTTGTAATAATAACAAATCGAATCAATCAATCAATCAATCACATTTTGGCACACGTTTTCTAGATTGCTTCCGTGAAGTTTATGCCCTAATGCCGCATTTTGCTCCGTGACGCGAAATAAAATAAATAAATAAAACAGGCGGAGATCCAACACTCACCATGTACTGAGGCAGGTTGTACAGCATGGCCCGATAAAGGATCTCGCACGGCGTCTCCTGCACTTCCTCTTCCCCCTGAAGAGAGAGAGGAGATGCCAAACGATCAGAATGGAGCTGGAAGGAACTTTAGAGGTCTTCTAGTCCAACCCCCTGCTCAAGCAGGAGACCCTCTGCCATTCCAGACAGCTGTCCAGTCTAAAAAATCCTCCATTGATGAAACAAGCACAACCTTTGAAGGCAACTTCTGTTCCACTGGTTGATTGTTCTCACTCTTAAGAAGTTTCCCCTTAATTCCAGCTTGCTTCTCTCCTTGGTTAGTTTCTACCCATTGCTTCTTCTCCTGCCTTCAGGGGCTTTGGAAAATAATTTTGCAACGAATAAGTAAATTTAAAAAATAAAACGGTAGATAATATGCTTAAAGATTCCACAGATGGGGGTTGGACTGGATGACCTTGCGGGATCCCTTCCAATGCTGTGAATCTGTTATCAAATGAAATATACCTCCCTGTATCTACATGCTTTGCTTTTATACTTTTGACATGCTCCATTAAGCCTTTTAATATTTTTATCTTACGCCTTTTATATTATTATTACGTTTGGGGGGGTTGTTGTTGTTGTTATAATCTCTTTGGAAAAATGGTAGTCTGTGGTGAGCTTTGAAAATTGTATCTTCAGAAGTTAGAAGGAGACCCTGATGAGGGGATGCTACATTCCTTAATGCTAAGGAAAGATGCCACACGGGCAGCCAAACTAAGAGGTAGGTAGGGGTACAGGTGAGAACATGAGGGAAGGAGAGAGAATTTTCCCTGGAGACATCCTAGGATTAGCTGCAACACCTGACAGCAAATCCAATGAGTTTGAGCTTGGGAGGGAATGAGTCTCAAAGAAAGAGGGAACTTGGGCGATGAGATAAAACTGTATATAAAGTATGATTTGGAATTCAAAGGTGTGGCTTTTGATTTGGACCTGTTTGTTGAGGGTTTCTAAAGACCACCAGCGCTTTGCAAACCGTCTGTTATTTCTTTTTTCATAAATCCTCTTTGTTTTCAACGATCCAAAGTTTTGTTTTTGGTTGGCTTTGGGCTGTTTCCAACCATTTGAACCCCATCTTCTTTGTGGCAGCTCCTCAAACATTGGAAGACTTGCTATCGTGTCCCCCGCTGGTCCTTCTTTTCATTAAACTCTCATTAAAGTCGCCAAGGAGAGGACAGAACCAATTATCGTAGCAGAGCAAACGAGAAGATACAGGTAGTTTCCGGAGAGTGAAGAAGGTGCACCTTCATGGGAATATCCCAGGGAAATAACTTACCAAAGAGATGGGACACTTTTCCATTTCTTCCTCATTCTTCATCTGCACTTCGGCGACGGAGATATATTTGTGCTGAGGAAGGAGATGGGAACAACAGGTTGGCTGTGGGAATTCTGGGAGCTGAAGTCCGCCCATCTTGCCAGCAGCCCAGGCCGAGGAATGCTGGTTTGTTTGCAAAATATCTGCCTTACCTCTTTCAGAGTCTTCACGCTTTCATGGATTGGGCACGGCAAGCCGACTAAGGTCTCCGTGTCTCTGGAAGGGTGACCAGAAGAGGCAGGAAGGGAGGAGAAGAAAAAAGACAAATTGAGGACCAAAGGCATCCTTTTTTCTTCTGGGTTTTGGATGACATTTTTTTTTGCAAGGCGTTTTTTTTTTTTTGCAGGAACGATTTATCCAGCAATCTTTCCTTTCTGCTTTTACCGTCCTGCGTTTGACAAACAAACTCTGGAAAACCAGGAATCGGGAAAAGGGAACTGAGACCGTATTGTACTAATAATAATAATAATAATAATAATAATAATAATAATAATAATAATAATAATAACAACAACAACAACAACAACAATAATAAACAATAACAGACAATAACAATAACAATAACAACAACAATAATAATAATAATCTATATATATAAAAGCAAAATATCACTCACACATCATCACAAAATCTCCAGAATCGTAAAGCCTACAAACTTGAAATTTGGCACGTATTTTCCTTTTGGCTTCTAGGGGCTCACTAAGAAAGGATTTTTCGAAATGACCATCAGAGCATTTAGAGTATTTCCTACATTATTATTATTATTAACACGCTCTGATGCTAAGGAGTTCGACACCCCCTCCCCACCTGAAAAAAAGAAATCTCTTCCAAATGCAAAACACAAGGAGAGGAGGTTCAGTTTCAGTTTCAGAGCACCAAGCAGCTTTAGTACAGAACAGTTGAGCTAAGCCACGCCCAGGCTCCTTGCTGTCTCCTTCTTGCTCACACAGCAAATACTCTTTCAGTTTCCAAACAGCCCTCAACTCTCTCACACACTGACAGGACGCTAGCCAGGTGAATACCCGACGGGTGCTGGTACGCACAGGCAGAATTTCCCCCCCTATTTTCCTCCCCCAAAACTAACCCCGATCACATAGTTTCGTAGGGAAGCACAGGGTGTATAGAGCTAGTATTTCATGCGTGCTTAATGTGGGCTGTTCAATCGTGCAATTTGAGTGGCCCGGATGGAGTGAGTTCTCTAGAAAACTTCCCCAATCTGGAGTTAGAGAAGGGTGCCAGAATTACAATATCTAGAACCGGAAGAGGCCGCTGAGGTCAGTCCAGAAAGCGGAAAGAAGGACTGCAAGATATGAATACAGTCCGTGGCAGAAAGAGAAAGAGAGAGAAAGTAGGGGTGGCTGATGTATCTTTGCAGAATTATTACTGAAATGTGTGTGTGTGGGGGGGCTCCCTGGGGGTCTCTGAGCTTGGTGGTTTTCTTGCAGACGTTTCATGACCCAACTAGGTAACATCATCAGTGCTGGAAGGGAGTGGGGTGTGTGGAGAGAGAAAGAGGAAGAAGAGGAGGAGGGACTGTGGGATCCTTGGTGACTAGGTAACTTCATTACCCCATACTCCTCCTTCTCCTCCTCTTCCATTCCACAACCCCACTCACTCCCTTCTAGCACTGATGATGTTACCCAGTTGGGTCATGAGACTGTAAGAAAACCAACAAGCTCAGAGACCACCAAGGACCCCACAGCCGTCCTCCTCCTCCTCCTCCTCCTTCTCCTCCTCCTCCTCCTCCTCCTGCTGTTTCACTCCACAAACCCACTCACTCCCTTCTAGCACCGATGATGTTACCGAGCTGGGTGATAAAACGTCTTGAAGAAAACCACCAAGCTCAGAAAGCACCAAGGACCCCTTCAAGACTCAGATTTTTGCCATTTAGCCCGCCATGCAATCAACACCCAGCACGTAAATTAAAGTTTGTGCTTAGAAGGTAAACCTTAGCCTCCAAGGGCCACCATCTACTCACTGCCCAAGTGTGAATCCAATGTATTTGTTCCTGCTGGTCTCCAGGAAATGTTCAATGTCTTTCTGTCTGGAAGACACAAAGTGGTTTTGCGTCACAGACAACGAGGCAGAGAGAGACAGAAGAAAACACACAGAGAGAGATAAGTACAAATGTTGAGAAAAACTTTGCAGTGCTTTTTTGGCAGCCGCTGCACACGGCTGGCTCATATTTAAACGGTTTCCACTAGGACTCCGACTTCCCTCTCACAGTTACTACTATCGAGCAAGGTACCACCTTATCCACTGAATTTCATTTTGTGGCATGGCATCCCATGTTCGAGTCTGTCCAGATCCTTCTGGATTCTGTACATGAGCCAGCCGTGCGCGGCAGCAGCCAAAAAAAAACCTAATACAAAACTTATATAAACAGAGGCATAGAATCAAAATCACGGGAAGTATTAGTACCGCTTTATAAAGCTTTTAGGAAGGCCACACCTGGAGTCCCGTGTCCAGTTTTGGTCTCATTCCACTGCAAAAAAAGATGTTGAGACTTTGGAAAAAGTTCAGAGAAGAGCAACTAAGATGATTCAAGGCCTGGAGGCTAAAACATATGAAGAACGGCTGCAGGAATTGGGTATGTCTAGTTTGATGAAGAGAAGGTCAAGGGGTGACATGACAGCAGTCTCCCAATATTTGAGGGGCTGCCCCAAAGAAGAATAGAAAAGAAAATAGAATAGAGAATAGAATAGACTAGAAAAGAGAACAGACTAGAAAATAGAATAGAATAGACAATAGAAAATAGACTAGAATAGAAAAGAAAATAGACTAGAATAGAATAGAAAATAGAATAGAAAATAGACTAGAATAGAAAATAAAATAAAATAGAAAATAGACTAGAATAGAATAGAATAGAACAGAATAGAATAGAAAAGAGAATAGAAAAGAGAACAGAATAGAAAAAAGAATAGAGAATAGAAAATAGAATAGAAAATAGAACAGACTAGAAAATAGACAATAGAATAGAAAATAGACTAGAATAGACTAGAAAATAAAATAGAAAATAGACTAGAATAGAAAAGAAAATAGACTAGAATAGACTAGAAAATAAAATAGAAAATAGAATAGAATAGAACAGAATAGAAAAGAGAATAGAAAAGAGGATAGAAAGGAGAATAGAAGAGAAACTAGAATAGGAATAACAGAGTTGGAAGGGACCTTGGAGGTCTTCTAGTCCAACCCCCTGCCCAGCCAGGAAACCCTACAGCATTTCAGACAAATGGTTATCCAAAGCACCAGAAGGCAGAGCAAGAGACAACGGATGGAAACTCATCAAGGAGAGAAGCAACCTGGAATTAAGGAGAAACAGGGAGGACAATTAACCAGTGGAACAGCTTCCCACCAGAAGCTGTGGTTGCTCCATCCCTGGATGTTTTTGAGAAGAGGTTGGACAGCCCTTTGGAATGGCAGAGGGTCTCCCGTTTGAGCAGGGGGCTGGACTAGATGAACCCCCAAGGTCCCTTCCAACTCCACTCTGATTCTGAAATCGCCACCATCTCATCCTCCACGGGAAGGTTCTTCAAGGCTAGGTGGAGACCTAAGGGGACACGCGATACCTGACTTTGGGGGCCCACGGAAGGCCCTTTGGGAAGGAGACCTTCTCCGCAGGTGGGCCTGGAACCGGCTCGGCTTGGACGGCGGTGCCCCTTTCCAAGAGGTCCAGCTCGCCTTCCAGGCCACCCTCCAGGTCATCGGGTTCCTCTTCCTCCCCCACGGCCTCCTCGTTCTTGAAGGGGTCCCTCTCGTTGTAGATATCCAGGCTGTCCTGCTTCATCAGCGGCTGCAGCGAGGGAAGCAAGAGAAGGATGAACGTGGGAGCCCCCCTTCTCCTCTGCTCCGGGACTCCTTGCAACCGAAGGACCACGGAGGCTTCCGGGGGAGAAGACGACCCGCCCTAGAATACCGGAAAGTCGAGGGACGGAGGTCAGCCGATGTCTGAAGGGGGAGGAGGAGGAGGAACCATCTCACCCCAATGGGATGGGCCCACCCCGTCTAGACCAGCAGAAGATGGAAGGGGGTTGGACTAGAAGACCTCTGAGGTCCCTTCCAGCCCTGTGAAGTGGGTTGGGCTGACAGAAAGGGACTGGCCCAAAGTCACCTAGTTGGCTTTCATGCCTAAGGCGGGACTAGAACTCCCCGTCTCCTGGTGATTGGCTCAAAGTCACCCAGCTGGCTTTCATGCCTAAGGCGGGACTAGAACTCCTTGTCTCCTGGTGATTGGCCCAAAGTCAGCCAGCTGGCTTTCATGCCTAAGGCGGGACTAGAACTCCCCGTCTCCTGGTGATTGGCTCAAAGTCACCCATCTGGCTTTCAT